GAGGCCGAGGAGGACGCCGGAGCGGGCTCGGGGTCGGAGGCGGAGGAGGACGCGCTCTGGGAGCGGATCGAGGGCGTGCGGCACAAGCTGACGCGCGCCCTGAACCCCGCCAAGCTCACGCCGTACCTGCGCCAGTGCCGGGTCATCGACGAGCAGGACGAGGAGGAGGTGCTGAGCACCTACCGCTTCCCGTGCCGCGTCAACCGCACCGGTGAGCGGCGGGGACCTCCCTGCGCCCACGGCCGGGGGTCAAGTCCCAGGGCCTGGGTCTCCACGCCTGTAGAGCAGACCGGTTGGGCGGGCCCCACGTCTCGCCTGCTCCAGAACCACCGTCCTGGGCGCATCCCCGGTTCCCACCCTGCCCTTGGTTTTGTCGTGGTGTGACCGCCCACTCCCTGGGCCCCTGGTAGAACGCGCATTGCCGTCGAGTGGGAACCCACCCACTGTTGACCGTCCGGTGGCTGTAAATAGCACTGGAGGAGATTGCTGGTCTTTCTCCCATGGAGTGGCTGCTGGATTCGAACCTCCGGAGACACGCCGCCTTTGGGTTAGCTGCACAACCCCCTCACAAACTATGCCCCGGAGCTTCCTCACGTTGCAGAAGGGGTGACATGGTTGCCTGGGCTTCTGGGCACAGCGACGCGCGTCACCTTTCCTGTGCCCTTTGGCCCATTTAGTTGTCTGGTTGCCTGACACTTTTTGGGGAGTCGTTTCTCAAGTGCCTGGGATCAGCAGTTCTAGGAGGGTCCTCTCGCTGGGGTGTGTTTCATCCTGAGCTGGAAAGGGATCTGGGAGCCAGGGTGGGTTACAGTAAGGGTCACTGCGGGTAGGACGCCTTCGCTGTTGGAGAGAAAGCAGCTCATTTGTGGTGTTGAGCTCACAGCCAGGCCCCTATTACTGGCCCCATGTGTGAGTGTTAAGAGGTTAGGGGACGTCCTGGGGGCCCAGCCTGGCCAGCTCGGACAACTCCCCGTCCTGATGTGTTGAAACAGGCCCCTGTGTGTCACTGGCTTAAAAAATCCGGGGAACGCAGGCCCAGGGGCCTGGAAGGAAGAAGTTCCAGGTGTTGGGGCTTGTCCTCACCTTGACCCCTGGTGACCCCTGTTGCCTGACACTCTCCAGGGCGCCTGATGGACATCCTGCGTTGCCGTGGCAAGAGGGGCTACGAGGCTTTTCTGGAAGCCCTGGAGTTCTACTACCCAGAGCACTTCACGCTGCTCACGGGCCGGGAAGCTGCCCAGCGCTGCTCCATGATCCTGGGTGAGTGGGGCCCTGCTAGCTTTGTCCTGGGCATGGGGACATTCTGTTGTCCAGATGAGGAAACTCAGGCACAGAGAGGGCTGAGGCAGCTCATCTACAAGCTGAGGTCCTTACCCACTTCATTTAGCTTTAGAGCCCCCCCCACCCCGAGTTTAACACTGCTGCTTTTGTCTAAAGTTGTTTTGAGATATGTAAGAATTGGCGTGCACGAAAACCTACAGTTTCTATGAAATTTTGGAATACTGTGGGAGACTTTAATAAGAGTGAAAGAACATGGAACATGTGGAAACTAACAAAGATACTGTTAAACAGTCAATGGGGAACCCTAGGAGCTTAGTGGTTAAAGCGTTCACCCGCTAACCAGATGATTGGTGGTTTGAATCCTCCAGTGTAGCCATCTGGATCTGTAAAGATTGATGGCCTTGGAAATCCTGTAGGGCAGTTCTCTGTTCTGTAGGGCCTCTGTAAGTTAGAATCAACTCAGTACAGTGGGTGCAGATAACCATTAAGTAAAAGAGAAATCTAGAGAGAAATGAAAATTGTAGTTGTTAGGTGCTGTCTAGTTGAGTACAACTTACAGAGACTCTGTGAACAAAAGATCTCAACTTTGTCCTATCCTGTGCCATCCTCACACATCTGACACACAGAGCCCATTGCAGTAGTCACCATGTCAGCCCACCTGGTTGAGGGTCTTCCTCTCCTTCACCGACCCTCCACTCTTCCCAGCATCATGTCCATTTCCAAGGAATAACCCCTCCTAGCAACATGTCCAAAGTATGTGAGGTGAAGCCTCATCATTCTTGCCTCCAGAGAGCACTCGGCTGCACCCTCTGCAAGACATACCTGTTCATTCTCTTGGCCGCCCATGAGATGGGATGTTCAGTGCTCCTCTCCAACACCACAGCTCAAAGGCATCAGTTATTCTCTGTCATCTTTAGTCACTTAGAGTGAAAAGAGGTAGCCTTTACTTTCCCCTCCAGCTCTGTTGTGCTTTGCATTTGTACATGCATACACACACGAACATGTGTGGGTCATCCTCCCGATTGCTCACGTTTTGCTTCTGTTCAGAACAACGGCATTTAATTGTGGCCTTAAATTGTTCTTGTCCGTCTGGTCCGTTGGGCCTCCTATCGGTGGAGGTCTAGTTTGCTTCAGGTTTGCACCATCACAGTGATGCGACGGGCATCCTGCAGACGTCTCAGCTGCGACTGTGTCTCAGGAGAGTCTTTGGCTGGGTCCTCAATAGGAGCAAAACCAGTGACGTGTGTGCTCGTGTGTGTGTGTGTGTGTGTGTGTGTGTGTGTGTCTGTGTGTTTATATTTTAAGGAGGTGGCTCAGGCAGTTGTGGAGGCTGGCAAGCCCCTGATCTGTAGGTCAGACATCAGGCTGAAGGCTTCTTGTGACTCCCATGGTCTCAGGGGCTGAAGAACCCAGACTCAGCAGGTCAGATGCTAGCCTGCTGGCTCGTGGAGCTGTGAGAGCTACCAAATCCCCAAATCTGCCAAGAAGGCAGCAGCCTGAAGGCTTACATTGTAAGAGCGCAAGGTCAGGTGATACAAGTAGGATTCGAGATTGAGAGAGAGCACTTTGCTAGAACACATCCCTAAAGAAATTTTCCTTATATCGGATCACAAAATGAGGAATAACTACATGCCAGGAATCTTGGCCAAACCACGTTGATACATAACATGAACTACCACAAAGAGGTTCTGAGAAGTACGATTTTTCACTGTGTGTATTTTAAATATTAAATCAACGTACTCTCCCACCCATAGTGAGTGCTTGCTTTGCCCTCCCCTCATCAGTCCTGGGACTCACTCTTCGACATCCTGACAGTGATACCTAGCGAAAAAAAAAATTCTCATTGTTTCAGTTTACATTTGAGAGGTGCATTTCACAGCTAACTAGCGTGTGCATCTTGGGTGAATGCCTTCATCTTTCTGTGCCTCGGTTTCTATCTTTAAAAGGGATATGTTAATAATAATACTTATAATGTTGCTGTGAAGATTAATTAACATATGAATTTAGTGCAGAGAATGAAATCAGCCAGTGTTAGTGTCAAATGTTGTTCTAATTGATCATTTGGACCATCTTTTTCTTTATTGGTCCCTTTTGAGGCTTGCCCACTGCTAGCTTTTGCTATATTTCTGTTGTTTGTCTTATTCTTATTGATTTGCAAGAGCTCTTTCTATATTATGGCACAAAATCCTTTGTTTTATAAGTTTTACGTGTTTTCTTCTACTCTGTTGCTTACCTTTTTTTTACATTTTTCATTATTCAGAGGTTAACATTTTTTTGTAGACATAGATTTGCCCATTTCCCCTTCATTATAGTTTCTGGATTTCAGCGCCTTGTGTAGGAGAGGCTTCTCTGTCCTTAAAACTCTGAGCATACATTCCAGAATTTTCTTCTAGTGTTTTTATGTTTTTTGATTTTCAGTGTCATTTGCTATCCCCTGCATTATACTTACCTGATCTGAATTTTCTCTCCCCGGTTCTGGCAGATGAGGAGGGGCCGGAAGGCTTGACCCAGTTCCTGATGACCGAGGTGCGGCGCCTGCGGGAGGCTCGAAAGAGCCAGCTGCAGCGGGAGCAGCAGCTGCAGGCCCGCGGCCGGGTGCTGGAGGAGGAGCGGGCAGGGCTGGAGCAGCGGCTGCGGGAGCAGCAGCAGGCCCAGGAGCGCTGCCAGCGGCTGCGGGAGGACTGGGAGGCGGGCAGCCTGGAGCTGCTGCGGCTTAAGGACGAGAACTACATGATCGCCATGCGCCTGGCACAGCTCAGCGAGGAGAAGAACTCGGCCGTGCTGCGCAGCCGGGACCTGCAGCTGGCGGTGGGTCCTGGGGGAGGCAGGTCGGGTGAGGTGGGGCCAGCAGCCTCTGCAGAAGGTGATGGTTCTGTGATAGTCAGGAGTCTCGGGTTGCCTAAGGAACTGTGCTGCAGTCCCAAAGGCACACAGTTTGAGTCCACTAGCGGCTTTGCCAGAGGACGGCCAGTCTCCTCCTATGTGATTTACTGCCTCTGAAAACCCACTGGAGGGTCAGCTGTGAGTCAGGTCTGACTCAGTGTCACACAACCACAATAACAATGATAGCCAGCTCGTGTCCGTGAGCAAGACATTCTGGCTCAGTTTTCTCATCTGTAACATGGGGATGTTGTTGAGAATCCTTTTTTATTGGCATTCAATGGCATTTCTCAAGCTGAGGCCATCTTGCCCCATTCATGTCTGAAAATTTGATTGTCAGAGGGGGTTTGTGTGTGATCCTGGCACCTAGAATTAGAGTTCAGAGATGCTACACACACAGTCCACAGCAAAATGTTCCCTGGCCCGGGAAGGATGGGTTCGGGGCTAGGAAACCCTCTGCTGCGGATTTGGTGGGTTGAGGCCCGTGCAGCACCCAGCTCGGTGCATGGTGTTATCGTCAGTACCAAGCAGGTGTCGAGCCGCTTACACCCGCCGTGGCGTTTGGTCCTCACCGGATGACCCCACAGCACCAGGACCTTGCTTCAGTTACTGACGTGGTGGCTGAGAGTTGAGGGGACTCACTCAGTGACCCCCAGGGGCAATGTCTTGGCCTGGTTTGGACCGGTTCCTCCTGGGCACTGTCCACTTGTCTGCCTGTTCACAGTCTGGGTACGATCTCAGCAGTGTCTGCCTGATGGGAAGTGGAGCCTGACTCTTAACAGCCAGGCCACCGAGCCCCGCTTGCCCACTGAGCCTGGGGGTGATATTGATGGCTCCTTGCTGGGGATGGTCCCCAGGATTTAATGAGTTTGCTGACCAGTGCTGGCGACACACAGGAGGCCCTGTCCAGGAATGCTGCATGAGGATCTGTAGTGGGACTTGGATTGTGGAGTTGAAGCCTCCCAGCCCTCAGTCAGATCCTCGGTCAGACTGGCTGTGGTGTTGGGGTGGCGTGTGTGTGACCTTTGGGAGCTGGCAGGTGTGGGTGCACTGGGGTCTTAGGGCCCGTGGCTGTGACATGGAGAAGTTAGTCCTGACTGGAGGTGACAGACCCCGTGGGGAAAGACCCAGACCCCTGGGCCTGCTGAGGGCCTGGGGGGTCAGTTAGGGGCTGTGAGACACATGTGACAGACCCCGTGGGGAAAGACCCAGACCACTGGGCCTGCTGAGGGCCTGAGGGTCAGTTGGGGGCTGTGAGGCACATGTAAGGCTATTGTCTGAGGGTGGGCTTGCTGTCTGCTGTGAGGTGCAATGCTTGGTCAGGCACTTTTTAGGTCCCCGGACCAAGCAGTTCCTGTCTTGGCTGTGCTGAGTAGTGGAGTGGAGAAAGCTGGAGTTTCCATTTTTTTCAGGGGGCCCCTCCAGAGCGGGGACAGACAGGCCTTGCTGGGGGGCTTCCCAGAGGAAAAGGCCTGCTGCTCAGTGAGCACAGATAGATGATGGGAGGGCTGGCTGCCAGGAGGCTGAGGCCGCATCTTTGGGTCATGTGATTGTGAACTGATGGTGTGTGTGTGTGTGTGTGTGTGTGGTTTGTGGGGGTAAGATACCCTGCAGGTGCATAACTGTAGGAAGTCTGTTCTGGGGGCTAGGACGGAGAGCGAGGTGGCTGGAGGTGCCTTGTTCTGTTGGCAGGTTGGCTATAACTGCACGTAGAGGAACCTGTGAGAGAGAAGCCAGTCTGCCGCCAGACTCAGGCCATAACTGCTTTTCCTGGTTTGAGGGGTGGCAGATAAGGAATAAAATGAATAAAGTTTTTTTTTCTTTCCACTTTAATTCCCATTATTTTAATTAGTACTTTTGCATTTCCGCTTTGACCCAACCTTCTGTAGTACCTTATCGAACACAATTAGGACGTAAACGGGACAGCACATAACTTTGCACAGGATACTACCGGTTTACAATCTGCCTTTCATGTTGCTTTTGGGAAAGTAAACAACTTAAAACATTAAAAAAAATTCTTTACATGACTTTAGGCAATGGTTAAAGCAAAAAAAAAAATACTTAATTATCCCCCAGTGAAGACACATTGCTAGTCCTTAGAAGCAAGGACTCCAGGGTAGTAGGGAAGCGGGGAATGAAGATTTTTCTTTATTTAAAAAATTTTTAAAAAGCCCTCTCAAACTCAGTGCCATTGAGTTGGAACTGACTCATAGCTGACCCTCCAGCAGGTTTTCACAGACTGTAAATTGCACAGGAGCTGATTGTCCATCCTTCTCCTGAGGAGCGGCTGGTGGATTTGAACTGTGAACCCTTGGGTTGGCAGCACAGCCCCTTGCCCTCTAGGCCACCAACCTCTTCTATCTCTAAGGGATGCTCCATAGGGTGTTCAAAGCTGCAGGAGCAGATGGCCAGGCCTTTTCTCCTAGTTGCCTTTGGGTGGGCTGCCTCAGACCACGCCGTCAGTGGTTAACCGTTCACTTCAGTCAGGGACGGCCTCTAAGAATCGTTGGCTTGGCACACGTTTTGTTGTGTGTGTGTGCTTTTCCTGCAGTCATAAAACAAAACAACAGAAAGCTTCCCTGCTGTAAATATGCTTTACCTTCTCGGGGCACCGCAGATGGATGTTAAGGCGACAGCTGAGCGTGCTGGGCCCGGCAGCTTGGGTGCCCTCCCCCCACGGACAGGTGTGCCTGTGGCTGGGACTTTAATACCGTGTTTTATAAGGTGCAAATTTAATGAGCTGTTATTTCTAAGCAACATAAACTCACAGAACGAAACGCTATAATTTTGTGCTAAGTGAGTTTGTACACCGGGATTAAACACATCCCTCTTGCTTGGTGTGCAGCAGACACGACAGCCAGGTGTCCTGGCCTCCCCGAGCTCCCCGGGGCGGTGGCTGCCCTCGGTGGGTGGGAGGCTGCGGCGTGTGGCTGTGACTCCCAGGGAGGATGTGACCACACTTGCCCTCGGAACTGGCTGTCTCCCTCTGGCAGCGCACAAAGCATGTTTTGTGATTGGAAAGGAATGCGGAGTCAGGCACTTCTTTCTGAGTCCTCTGCGGAGGAGCAGTGGACAGAATTCTGGAGCTGCTCGCCCCAGTCTCCACCCCCGTGTGTGTGTGTGTGTGTGTGTGTGTGTGTGTGTACGTACATACGTGTGTGTACACGCATACGTGTGCTGCTCTCGGCTTTGAGGAGTGGGGCCCGCAAGTCATATTCTGAGAGAAGTCAGGGACACTGCAGGGCACCAGACTGCGGCATGCCCGAGTGTGACACTGTGCGAGGTTGCTGTGACCTTTCCCAACAATGACTTCATTTCATGCCTGCCACCTGCCGCTACGCTCCTGTCGCTGTCTGGCCACCCTGGACCCCGCGTGCGCTTGCAGAGTGATAACCCTGGTTGAGTGGACGCCGAGGCCAGTACACTGACTACTCACACGTGCAGCCTGATGCCCCCCCACACACAGCTGCCCGTTACCTTGTGCCCACCTCCGGTTCCAGAAGTGGAGCTGGTGACAGGTGGGCTTCTGGGACTTTTAGTTCAAGCTGTGGACACAGCCACCAGCACAGCCCTGGCAGCTCGGTAGCTGCCCTCTGAAGGCCCTGCCTGCCCGCTCCCTTCCTGGACTCTCACCACAACCTGGGTAGGCAGGGGGTTGATTGCTCTCCGCTTTTTTTTTTTGTGAAAATGTGTGCAGCTAATCAGACACCAGTTCAGCCGTTTCTACACACGCTGTCCAGTGACGCTAAGAACATTGTTCAGATGCAAGAGTTCTCATGATTCCCCAGTCATTCCACCTTCATTAAGATGAACGCACTGTCCTTGAGCTGCTCATCTGACCTTTCAGGTTGCCCTGGTAAATTTGCCCTAAGTGGGCCTATCTCACTGAGGGGGAACTGAGGTTTACCCAGTCCAGTTGTTCTGTTATGGATATTTTTTATTATTATTAATAATTTTAATGAAAATTTACAGAGCTTTGGATTTCCATTCATTCATTGTTGCGCTTTTCTCCCTGCCCGCCCCTCCCTTCAGTTCATTCTTCTCTTTGAAGAGTAAAAGAAAAATTTTTTCATTGTTACACAATCTCTCCCCCCAAGTCCACTCCACTGTTGTGGATATTTTTAAGGGAGGTTGAGCTGGGAGGGGGACACCCCTGCTGTCAATCAGGATGCTTTAGCCTTGGGCTGGGTGAGAGCCTTTGAACCACCACCCAGTGTCTGAGTGGCCAGGAGGCCGAGGCACAGAGAGGGCTGTGACTTACTCATGATCACACCGCATTAGAGGCAGGGAGGGGCCCAGGCTGTGGTTCCTTTTGTTCTTGGTCCAACTCTCCTTTCTCTCTGCTGAGTTAAAACTTGGCTAGTTGACTCTGCAGGTTGTTGTTGTTAGTTGCCGTCAAGTTGAGTAAGACTCACGGTCACCGTGTGAACAGCCGTGCTGCCCTGCCCTAACCTGTGTCATCCTCATTGTCTCTTGAGACCTTAGAGCCCATTGCCAAATTCACCCCATTCAGTCCATCTCACTGCGGGTCGCTGACTTTGCATCTTTCCAAGATGATGTTTCTTTCCAAGGAATAGCTTCGCCTAGCCACATGTCCAAAGTATGAAAGACGAAGCTTAGTCATCCTTGCCTGCAAGGAGCACTCTGGCCGCACCCTTTCCAGGACATATCTCTTGGTTCTCAGTTTATTATGGGTTCAGTTCTGACGAGACAATCCTAAGCTGGTTCTGAAGTCACAAATACCTTTTCTTTTTTTTAAAATTTATTTTATTATTATTTTGTGTGTCTTTGTACCGTCAAATCAGATCTGACTGGTACAGGAGGAGATTGTCCCTCCTTTCCTGGCAGAGCATCTGGTGGATTCGAACCATGCGCCTCTGGGATTGCAGTGCAGCTTCTTGCCACTAGGCCACCAGAGCTCCTCTACCTTTTCTTTTTTTTTCTTAGCCGTTTGCTTGGTTGTTTTTTAATTAATTTTAATGAAAGTTTATAGAGACTTAGGGTTTCCAGTTGTTCATTGTTGCACTTTTCTCCCTCCCCCTCAATTCACTCTTCTCCTTGAAAAGAAAGAAAAAGTCTTTCATTGTTATGCATTCCTTCCCTCTAAGTCCACTTCACTCTGGACTTCTGTAATGACAAGAATACCCATTCACATGTTCCTTTTAAATAGTTCTCTCCCTCATCTGTTTCAATGCAATATACATCATTCCTCCCCTCCTTTTCTGTCTTCCCTCAACCCCAATGTCAGTCCTGTTTTACAACAGTGGCCCTGTGCAATATTTGTCCTTTTGTGACTGAGATATTTCACTCAGCATGATGTCCTCCAGGATCACCCATTCTGTATAATATTTCATGAGTTCCTTGTTTTTCAATGCAGCGTAGTATTCCATTGCGTGAATACACCACAGCTTTTCCATCATTCGTTGATGGGCACGTGGGTTGTTTCCAGCTCTTTGCTATTTGAGAACAAATCTATAATAAACGTGGGTATGCAATACCTTTTCTTTTTTAAAATTTCCATTATTATGTTTATTGCTAGTGTCTCTAGAAATCTCATCTTTGTCTTTGGGGTTTGGAAACAGTACATGTAAACTTCCAGAAGTATATTTGAACACCTTAATACACAAAAAACTGCAAGTTGCAAAATTTTCTCTGATGAAGAATTGGACAATGTTGGCATTTTGTCCTTTCTGATAATAGCTTTGTTTGTGGAAACTTCTGGATGGTCATGATTGTTCTTGGGAATGAGGTGGGGTTTCTAGTCAGTTGTCTGGCTGTCTGGTTCTTTGCTTTTTCCTCCCGTTTTTCCTCAGTAATCTCCCACTGCTCCCCAGATCAGCCACTGGCCGATGCAAAGCGGCTGGTGTTTTGGTCCCCGTTTTCAGGCAGCTATTGCCTCTGATCTGGTTTAGATAAAACTCCAGCTGATTCTTTCACTGTGAAATTTTCTGACAACTTTCTCTTTCTTTTCTGTCATTGTTTCTCCTTCAGCATCTTTCCTCCTCAGACTCTGCAAAGCCCTGACCTGTCTATCCCCCTCCTTGGCCACCTGTGAACTGTGCCATGTCACACCGCAACACTGGGTGCAGTGCGTAGCAGGACAGTTTAGATCTAAACAGAGTGAGACAAACCCAGCAAATGCGGCAGAAAGTCATGAGTGAGTGGTGCCCCTCGTTTCTTGAGAACTTCCTAAGTCAGGGGCCACCTGTGTCCAGTATCCGATTTGTGGGACAGACAAGCATGTTGGGACATAAGCACGTCCACCTCCAAGTCCTCAAAGCGGAGTCCCCAGGGAGAGAGAGTCCCCTCCTTGCCACTGCTTTGTCCAGTGTGGGGAGGACCCCTGCTCCGGCCCCTTGATATTCTGGGAGGTGCTCGGCAGTGAGGGAGTAGGGCCTCCCACCTGCTAGCTTGCTGGTGGCTCCTCTTGGCGTGTCCGCTCTGACTGACCCACGTCTTGGGCCGCAGGTGGACCAGCTCAAGCTCAAGGTGAGCCGGCTGGAGGAGGAATGCTCCCTGCTGCGAAGGACTCGGGGGCTGCTCTCCGGGGCCGAGGAGAAGGAGAAGGAGCCGGACAGTGTGGACCTTGTCTCTGAGCTGCAGGCTGAGAACCAGCGGCTGACGGCGTCTTTGCAGGAGCTGCAGGCGGGCTTACAGCAGGTACCTGGGGCGACGGGGAGTATGGGGTGTGCAGGTGGGGTGTGGGGACAGGTGATCATTCGGGTCCCTCCTGTTGCACTGCATCTTCCAGAGCCCAGAAAGGTGAGGATTCTAGAAGTGGGGATCTGAGGTCTGGGTTTGGGAGGCAGCCGCCTGGAAGTCTTCAGATTCCCAGAAAAAGTGCGCTTCATTTCCGTCATGAGCACATTTTTGGACAAAGGTCCCTAAGTTTCCTGTGAGTGTTAGTGTGATCTGTGATTCTTAGGAAGTCCCTGAGCGGCACAAGTCGTTGGCAGCTAAACACAAGATTGGAGGTTCTTATCTACTCAGAAGTGCCTTGGAAGAAAGGCCTGGTGTTCTGGTTCTGCTAAAAACCAGCCTTCGAAAACCCTGCAGAGAGAGCACCTTTCCCTCTAATATATTTGGGTTGCCATGAGCGGAAATATGCTCCATGACAGCTAGTCATTTGTATGTGTATGAATGTGTTTTGTGACACTAAGAATCTGAGAACCCTGAGGTCCCCTTAGCCCCAGGGCCTGCTTGGTGGCCTGTGGCAGGTCAGTGGCAGCGTGGGGACGTGGGCCTGCCTCCTGTGCAATGCTCTTCCCACCACGCAAGGAGAGTGGGGAGGTGGGAACCAGGGCTCTGGTGTATCTCATGGAATTGTGTGATAGGAATGTAGGTCTAGGGGCTGGATCTTGGGTCCAGGGTTCACTTCCTGGGCCAGACTGAGGCTCCCTGTGAAAACTCATTGTCAACAGAGCAGGCTTTGGGAATCTCCACCCCACTGCTGCCCCAACAAGCTCTGGGTGGGGGCCTGAGCCAGACCCGCCTGCTTCTTGTTAAGAATAAGATCCTGGTGGAACTTGCCAGGACACACCCTCAGCCACTTACCCCAGATGCTCCCTGGAGGTGGGCAGGGCCTGCAGGCACACCCACTTGGGATAGGTCCCAGGGCTGGGGGCCCTTGGCTGAGGCCTGAGAGCTAGCGGGGTGCATGCCCTGGCCGCTGTCGACCTCCCATCGCCGTCCCCCTGAACTCTGTCCCCAGGAGGCCAGCCGGCCGGGGGCCCCGGGCTCAGAGCGCATCCTTCTGGACATCCTGGAACATGACTGGCGGGAGGCGCAGGACTGCAGGCAGGAGCTGTGCCAGAAGCTGCATGACGTGCAGGGCGAGCTGCAGTGGGCAGAGGAGCTGCGGGACAAGGTTGGCACCTCCTGACCCCTCCTAGCCCTGCTCTGAGGGACAAGGTTGGCACCTCCTGACCCCTCCCAGCCCCTCTCTGCCTGACAAGGTTGTCACCCTCCCATCACAGTGGGACAAGGTTGTCACCTCTTAACCCCTTCCCAGCCCTGTTTTTGCGGGACAAGGTTGGCACCTCCCATCACAGCCCCTTTCTGAGGGACAAGGTTGGCACCTCCCATCACAGTCCTGCTTTGTGGGACAATGTTGTCACCCTCCTGTCACAGTCCTGCTCTGCGGAACAAGGTTGTCACCCTCCTATCACATCCCTGCTCTGCAGGATGAGGTTGTCACCCTCCTAACCACCTCACAGCCCCACTCTTGGAAGGCACATCTTCCGAGAACCTCCTGTGGGTCGTCTACTCGTTTTCAAATAATTTATCAGGCACCAGTGTTCTAGGCACCTGGGATGCATCAGTGAGCAGAGCAAAGGTCCCTGCTTCTGTGCGTGTTTAAAGGGCTCAAGGTTAGGGAGGCAGTCCAGCATGAACCTCATGAGAAGTCAGTGATTGCACAGTAGAAAGCAGTGGGCATTGTGGAAAACATAAGAGGGTCAGGGGGCAGATCAGACTTTAAAAAGCCAGGTGAGAGCTGCTACTGTGTCATTGTACCCATTTTATAGATTAGACAGCTGAGGTTCAGTGGGATGATGTCAGTGGCCCAGGCCACCCAGATGGAGAGCTGGGCACCTGAAGTTGGGCTCAGAAGCCCGGCCTCTGACTAGAGAGTGGCCTCCTGGTTACCTTCCCCACCTGCATGTGCTCAGCGTCCCCGCACCGCTGTGGGCTAACTGGACCCTGCCCTGCCCACAGTACCTGCAGGAGATGGAGGACCTGCGGCTGAAGCACCGCACGCTGCAGAAGGACTGTGACCTGTACAAGCACCGCATGGCCACCGTCCTGGCCCAGCTGGAGGAGATCGAGAAGGAGCGGGACCAGGTGAGTCCTAGCTGGCTGCGTGCCGGGCTCTGGCTGGAGTCTGGGAGAAGTGAGCCGGAGCAAGAATTGTAGGGAAGAGCTTTGACACTGAAGGCTGAGGGCTGGGCAGGGGAACCCAGACACCACACCTTGACTGTGAACAGTCTGTGAACCCTACACCTGGATGCACCTGTCTCACCTGGACGCACCTGTCTCACCTGGACGTACCTGCCTCACCTGGACGTACCTGCCTCACCTGGACTCTGGTGACAGTTCCAAGAGCTGAGCTGTATCCTTCGTGTGTCCCTTCACAAAGACAAGTCCGGCATGAAGCACGTGTGCGCAGATATTTGCTGATGAGAAACTTTTCACAGGTTCTGGCTCCAGGCCCTGGACACCATGACCTGTTTCCTGCTGAGGCTGTGGGGTGGGATGCCCCCACCCTGCTTGTATGAGGCTCTCCACAGACAGGCCAAGCAGGAGGGTTTGTCCTTGGAGCAAGCTCCGATCCTACCATCTCTGCTTCAGGAGTGGGAGCCTGCACATTTCAGGGGGCCTCGGAATTCCCTCATGGCTTGGTACATGCTGATGTGAGCTTTCCCCTAGAATCTGCATTTTACTACACTGTTGTGGGTGAGGCAGCGATAGAAGGTCCGAGCCTTGGGCCCAGCCCTCAGGAGACCTTGGTCTTCGTTGTGGGGAAGAGACACATTGGATGCAACCAGCTGGCTTGAACCTGGCTCCTCCACTAACCAAGATACGGTGAATAAAGCGGATAGTAGTTGCAGGAGAGCTTTCAGGTTCTTAAAACAACAGGGCAGGAGACTGGCCCCTGAGGAGAGACTGTTGTGTGGGTTTCAGGACCCACTCTGGGGCTGCCGGCTTTTTGACCCCTGTGCCTCCGTTTCCGTCTCTGTAAATTGAGAATAACAGTAACTCTTGGAGCTGTTGTGAAGATTAAATGAGCTGGTATTTAGCACAGTGCCTGGTGCACAGAAAGCTCTCAGGAAACGTTAGCTGTTCTTATTGTGGGTCAGCAGACCAGTGATCCTGGAAAGGGCAGGAGAACGAGCCACATTTTCTTTCTTTTTTTTTTAAATTGTGTGTGTGTGTGTGTGTGTGTGTGTGTGTGTGTGTGTGTGTGTACACCGTCAAATAGAATCTGACTGGTACAGGAGGAGATGCCCCTCCTTCTCCAGCAGAGCATCTGTTGGATTTGAACCGTGACGAGCCACATTTTCTAAAGTGGTCACTTGATGGCCGCTGACAACAACAGCGACAGCTCTTACTATTACTGCCCCATCCTTGGGCTTAGAAGCTGAACCAGTGTGGCTCCTTACCTGCAGGTCCTCAGCGATCTCTCTGCCCGCTCCCTGCAGGCCATCCAGAGCCGGGACCGGATCCAGCTGCAGTACTCGCAGAGCCTTATCGAGAAGGACCAGTACCGCAAGCAGGTGCGGGGCCTGGAGGCCCAGCGGGACGAGCTGCTGACCACGCTCACCAGCCTGGAGGGCACCAAGAGCCTGCTGGAAGCCCAGCTGCAGCGGGCCCAGGGCAGCACCTGCCTCAAGGTGAACGGGCTCGGCAACAGGAGGGTCCCAAAGAGCCTGGGGCCGGGACCTGGAGGCAGACAGCTGGTGCTGGGCTAGGCAGGCCCTGGTGGGAGCCTTCGGTGGGGACTGGGAGGTGCTCAGCGGGAACGCTTGGATGGGAACATCTGGGCCTTGCCCCTCGGATTAGGAACACACTAGAGAGGGAGCTGTCGGGCCGGGTGGGGACACGCAGGCCCAGGTGCGAGCCCTCAGCTGGGGCCGGGAATGTTTGGGTCCACACATTGGGTGAGTATGGTTTGTCACATCAGAGAGTGACAAGGACACGTGGGCCTGAGCTTCGACGCTTGTTCCTGGGCGCTGGGAATAGGTGAAGCCTCTCTTTCCATACACTGGGGAGCTGGACTGCACGGGGCATCTTGGAATGCAAATGTTGGACCTGTACAAGCTCCTCGTGGACAGGCCCAGGGAAGTCAGGGGCTTGCATATGAACATGAACCTGACTTTTCTGCTTTCTACAACTCAAGAGTTCTGGTGGCTTAGTGGTAAGGCGTTGCATTGCCAACACAAAGATCCATCAGCTGCTCTGAAGGAGAAAGATGAATATTAACTTCCCTTACTGCCTCTGAAAACCCACTGGGTTGATTTTCATTGGACTAGGCCTGCAGGGCTTTCCCCTTTCTCCAGCCTGGAGCTACACCAGTGTTTCCACCCTGCAATGTGAGGCAAGCCTGCCCTAGGGTCTTTGCATGTGCTGTTCTAACTTACTGCCCTAGCACCTACTTAACACTTGAGTTCTCAGTTCCAACCCTTAGTTTTCAGGAAAGACGTTCTAGGCTCGGCCTCCAGACCCTCTTCCTTCCCTGCTCTCCTTTTAACCAGCTATCACTTGATTTGAGTCCTGTGTGTCTGTGGAGACCTCACCTATGTGCATCAGAGCAGAACTGTGCTCCACGGGGTTTTGCAGGGGCGCAACTGCCCTTTGGCTGTCTATGCCTCTGACCTGAGTCACTCCAGGGACTTGGGGGGCTCAGCTCTTCAGAGCTGCAGCTGATAATGGGTTGCTTTTTTTGTTTTGTTTTGTTTTGCAAAGCTTATCACTAGGCTTTTTTTCTGAGGCACCTCAAGGTAGTCTTGAACTTCTAACCTTATGGGTAATGGCTCAGCGCTGAACCATTTGTACCCACAGGATTCCATTCTCCCTGTAGCTCTGTGTTCTCCTGTTTGCTGCTTGTCTTTGTCTGCCGACTGTGAACCCCACCGGGCAGGGGTCTGCTTCTCTGGGTCCCATCGTCTCCTTGAGCCTGGTGTGAAGTGGGACTCTGGAGGCGATGGTGGCGGGTTCGAGACCAGCCTTGCTGACCCCGCCCCTTCTTCTCCCAGGCCTGTACCTCCTCCCACTCCCTGTGCTCCAACCTCAGCAGCACCTGGAGCCTGAGCGAGTTCACCTCCCCGCTAGGGGGCTCAGACACAGCAGGAGAGGCGGCCGTCACCGGGGGATCTGAGCCCCACACCTCGGTAAGACCCCCCCCTTTGCCTCATATTGAGGGGAACGGGGGATACTGGATGATCTTCATACAGTTACTAAGATGATGTTGTCATGTGCTGTCGAGTCACTTACGACTCATTGCGACCCTATGAACAACAGCTTTGAACCCTGCTTTAACCTGGGCCAACCTCATTGTCTCTGACACACCTAGCCCCATTACCACAGTCACTGAGTCAATCCGTCCCATCCACGGCCCTCCTCTCCTGCACTGTCCCTCCACCCTCCCTAGCATGACGTCCCTCTCCAAGGACTGGTCCCTCCTTGCAACATACCAACAGTCCCACTTCACAGGGGATGAAACTGAGGCCCAGGTAGACAAAGGGACTTTCTTAAGCTCACTCAGAACTAGCTAAGCCTGGTACCAAGGGACCTGGGTGTCTCTCACATATAGTACCATGGCCGAGCCCACTCCCTCCTCTGGGAATGGGCCCAGACCAGGGGCGCTGAGGGCTGACTGAGTCCCGGGCCTTTGGGGTGACTGAGGCCCTGGTGCGGTCTTCCAGGAAGAGGCTGCAGACAGCGAGAAGGAGATCAACCGTCTCTCCATCCTGCCCTTCCCTCCCAGCGCCGGCTCCATCCTTCGCCGACAGCGGGAGGAGGACCCTGCTGCGCCTGCTAAGAGGTACGTGGACCCCAGAGGGCAGCTGGGGGCCCCAGGGATGTGGGGATGCTATTCCCGGGAAGAGCCACGTCCGAGCTTCCCTGTGCAGTGAAGTCAGTTAGTCACCCCCTTACTGCCCTCAACCTCTGTAGCTCCCACAGCCCAGGCCCTATAAGTGACTAGGTCAGAGGTTAGGGCAGGGCAGAGGGCAGAGGGGACCCTGCCCCAGCTGAGCCTCGGCGGGAGACCTGCCGCAGGTGAAGCTCTGAAAGTCCTAAGCTGGGGAGAAGCCTTGTGGTTCAGAACCCAGAACTCAGAGAATGTTCCAAGGGTTCAGGGACTGAGGGAAGCCAATAACAGCAAACTGGACCAAAGCACCTGCTGATGGCATGATCCTTCCCTTGAAGGTGTCCTTTGTCCATTGATCTGCTCCTGAAATGCTGGGGGCAAAGCCATTCTGATCAATACAGGCCTGATCAGCACGTGAATTCACTATAATTGAGATGCATGGGCTCACAGTCTAGATGCAGAGGTGGACCTCAGAGCCACAAATAGCAGTTCAAGGTAGCAAGTGAGAGTCAAGTTCAAGTCAGAGGTTAGGGAGGCTCCCACAGGGAGCCTTGGAGCTGGCTGTGAAGGCCAGGCCAGGGGTTCTGGGTGGGAGAATCCCACCAGAGGGATGTTAACATGTCATCTTGTGATTCAGGGTTGTAGGATGGTGGGGGGCTCTGTGTCCAGGACTCAGGACTTGAGACTGCAGGACATGGGGGTGCCATGGGGACTGGCCCTCTCTGCCCACCCCTCCTGACCCTGTGTCCTTTCCCTGTTCTTTTCTCTGTCCAGGTCCTTCAGCAGCATGTCTGACATCACAGGTAAAGTCCATGGGCTCCATGGGAACTGCCATGTAGGGGAGGGTCTCACTGCACACCTGAGCCCCAGTCCTCCTGCTGTCCCTGAGATGCCCTGCTGAAGGGAGGCCTGTGCCCCCTGTCTAGAGACCACACCGTGCCCTCTGGGCCATCTGATTCTCACCCTGAATGCAGTGCCAGTCACTCTGTGGCACCCCCTACCCCTGCTGGGAAACGGAAGGGTGACCCTGCAGGCCCTGGACCAGCTTTGAGCCCAGTGAGTCAAATGTCCCTTCTGGGGCTCAAGCTACCTCACCTCGTCTATGGGCTGCCAGGTCGTGAGGGGGTTTAACCCCTGCCAAGCACCCTGGGCCTCCTTGCTTCCCAGCCTGGGACCTCTGAGCCTCATTCTTTTCCCCAGGGAGTGTGACACTGAAACCCTGGTCCCCCGGCCTTTCCTCGTCCTCATCCTCCGACAGCGTGTGGCCTCTGGGAAAGCCGGATGGCCCTCTGGCCCGGGGCTTGGATCTCTTCAACAGGTACTGCAGCACCTGAGGTGGGGGTGGGCCGGGGCCTCCACCTTCTGAGAGGGAAGCAGGGCTGAGGGGGCGGGAGCAGCTAAGTCTTTACCCAAAGAGGGAAGTCGGTCTTCTTTTTTTAAAATTTATTTTAATTTTAAGGGAAAGTTTATCAACGATACTGGTTTTTCAAATCGATTTGCATTTGTTTGAGAATAATATTGCAATTGTTATTTCTTTTGATCCTTTGTCTATATATTTATAACATTACCGTGACTATCATTAATTCTAACACCTGATCAATATATTGCATGTTGCTTTTCCTTTGAAAAGTGGCCAACTGAAGGTTAAATCCCGTCCCCTCTGATGATGGTCTGTGTGATGCGGCTGGTCACGCTGCCTCTCTGGCTCTAGTGTCCTCACAGTTTAAAGGGGGACAGTGGTCTCTTCTGGATGTGTTTTGGGGTTTCTGGTCAGGGAAGTAAAGCTCCTGTCTCGGCCAGCCACCGTGTTGTCGGGTGCCATCAAGTTAGCGTCACCTCGCAGTGACCGCCATGTCCAGCAGGAGTAAGCCCTGCCCAGTCCCTCCCCGTCCTTACAGTCTTTGCCCTGCCCGGCTCATTGCCACAGTCACTCACTGTGTCAGTTGATGCTGGTGAGGGAACTTCCCCTCTCTTACCACCTTGCTTTTCCAGGCAGTGTGTCCTTGTCCAGGGCCGGGTCCCTCCTGAGAATATGCCCACCGTACGTGAGAGCGGATCTCACAAACCTGTTCAGAGAAGCACTCTAGCTTGCTGCCTTCTAAGACAGACTTGCTTGTTGTTTCTGGAGTCCGCAGGCATATTCATTATTGTTCATTAACAGAGCAGATCAAAGGCCTTCAGTCTTTACCTTCTTTATTCTTTGTCCAGCTCTCACATGCCTTTGAGGCTATCGAAGGAGCCCTGGAGGCTTGTTGGTAGGTGCTGTGCGCTGTATGACTCTTAGGGACCCTGCGGATAACGGATCTGAATCCTGCCCTTTCCTGTGCCGTCCACATCAGCACTGATACACTTGAACCCATTGCCGTAGGCACTGTGTCAGCCCGTGTCGATGGGGGGTCTGTCTTTATGTCTCTGACCCTTCACTCTTCCAAGCATGATGTCCTTGTGGGGAGAAAATGTGCTGTCAAACCAAAAGAACGTGGTTTGAACCGGCCAGCCGCTCCTCCATGGGGAAAGAAGGGCGTTCTCCTCTTGGGTGATTTACTGCTTTGAAAGCCTGCCGGAGGCTCAGCTGTGAGTAGGTTCCAGCCGCACGTAACAACAACATGAGGCCGTTGGAAACACCATGTCTTGGGGCAGGTGCATGTGCTTGGTAGATCGCTGTCCTCGTGTGGACACTGGTGCCCTCCAGCAAAGCTCTGTGCCGTGGGTGGGGCTGGGCGGCTCTCAAGCAGTTAGGAGTGAATTGGAGTGCAGGTGGCCTCCCTCTGCAGACCTGCCCTGGCCTGCTCTCTTGCCCCGGCCTCCCCCTGCACACCTGCCCTGGCCTCCTCTGCTGCTTCAGCCTCCCTCAGTAGACCTGCCCTGGCCGCCCCCCTGTGCCCCTGCCCCAGCCTCCCCCTGCACACCTACCCCGGCCTCCTTCTGCACACCTGCCCTGGCCTCCTTGCCTGCTCTAGCCTCATCCTGCACCCCTGCTCCAGTCTTCCTCAGTAGAACTGCCCTGGCTGCCCCCTGTGCCCCTGCCCCAACCTCCCTCTGCCCCCACCTCCCTCTGCCCCCGGCCTCCCTCTGCCCCCGGCCGGCCTCCCTCTGCAGATCTGCATTGAATCTCTGGAGCAGTGGTGGCCAGGGATCACACTGCAGTGTGGCCTGTGAACTCCACCAGCAGGGATCAAGGGTTGGCTTTGACAGAGGAGTGTACTGAGTGGGTCCAGGGCTTTGTCAGGGTTTCACTGAGACTGGAGCACTGCAGACCACCTTTGACTAGGAGAGCGTGAACTCTGGCGTGTGCCCCCATCCCCAGAGGGCTCAGCCATTTTTCAGGTAAGGCTCCCAGCTTCCCTGCTGTGTCCTCTCTGGAATGTTGGCTTTGTCTTGGTGACTCCCACTTTAGAGAGGAGGAAGTGGAGGCTCAGAGAGGTTAAGTGACTTGTCCAGAGTGACCCAACCTGAGCCAAGATCCTGAACGAGCTGAGCTGATGGATTTGGGCTTTAGACCTGAGCTGATGGATTTGGGCTTTAGACCGGAGCTTGGGAGCCCTAAGCTGTGGGGGTGGGGGTGGGGCAGGGCCAGCGGACTCCTGAAGGCAGCTGGGGCCAGCCATGTCCAGCCTCCTGCCCTGCCCCCGCCTTGCTCTGGCTGGTCCAGTGTGACATTGTTCCCCGCAGGACGTGCTTCTGGGGGAAGGGGCGGAGGTGCCTCCCTTCCTGCCTGCCTCAGCCCTTCCTCCAGCCCTCAGTGGTGGGGGTCCTGGCTGCTGTCCAGGGGCTTCCAGGATGCGGCAGAGTGGCTGGGAGGCTGTCCCAGCCCCCACCCACATGGTCATAGCACCACCTCTGCCGACAGTGCCTGCGGAGGAGGGAGTTGGGGGACAGAGGAGGGAGTTGGGGAATGAGCCCAGATTGAGGTGAGGGTGGGACAGAGGGAGGATGCTGGAGAGGGTGGGGGGACCAAGAAGGGAGGTGGGCCATTGACAGAGGGGAGACCCGGGGCCCTAACTGTGGCGTGTTGTTGGGGCCACTGTGGAGTAGGGAGAACAGTCTTTGGAACAAGCTGCCTGGACTGAAATCCTGACTCCATCATTTGCTACCAAGTCGCTTAGTCTCCCAGTGCCTTAGTTCTCCACTCTGTAAAATGGGACTCAAAGTAGCACTGACCTTGGAAGGTCCTTGTGGGCGGTTCCAGTACCTCATCTCGGGCACTTAGAATAATGCCAGTCTTACATTGTGTGCTGGTCAGTTAATTCCGACTCCCAGGGACCGTGTGGAACGGAGTAGAACTAGCTGTGGAACTGAGTAGAACTAGCCCATGTGGCTGCCTAATCTGTGGTCTTAATGGAAGCAGAGAGCCAGGTCTTTCTCGGGCCAACCCTTCAAGCCTTTGGACTAGCAGTCATTAACATAACCATTGTGTCATCAGGGTTCCTTGCCTGGTTTACAGGGAGTGGAAAGCATCTGTTGGTTCTCAGCTATTATTACTGTTGCTGTTCGATTCTCAGAGCAGACTTCAAGGCTGTGTGTGTGTGTGCGCGCGCGCGCATTCATTCGTTTGTTCGTTCCTGTGGTTTTGGTGAAAGTCTGCACAGCAAATTAGGTTCTCATTTAACAAACAAGACATAGATTGTCCCGTGACCTGCGTTATGATTTTCTCAGTGTGTTAACACGTTGCCGCACACTTAAATTGACGACCGTGCTTACAGCCGTCATTTGCAGCAACATGTTAACTTTTCCAGTTTTTGTTCCATTCTGGGTATTTCGTGTCCCGTAATCTGGCTTTCCCGTCCCCTGTCCTTTCTGTTTTTGCTTGAGAGTCATTGTTGGACCATTTGATCTCGTACAGATGCGCTTGGAAAGGTGTGCAGTGCTCACGGGTAATCTCTGTTTTGTGAGCCAGCTTGTTATTTACAAAAAGCGACCCCAGGAGGTAGTTTGAGGTCAAGGTTTACAGAGTACCGAAGGGCAGTGGTAGTCTGAGGCAGTCCTTGGGTCTCAGTTTGTTTTCTACGTCTGACTCTTTTAAGACTCTGTATTCTGGCCCACGGTTTTCTCCTCTTCTGTCAGGCTGCATCTCCAGGGGCGTGAGGAGAACAGTCTGGTGGTTACTGGGCACCGTGTGGTGCCTCTGGCCTTGGGAGCTGAGGTCTGGGCCTTGGAGATTGTCCTAGAGACTAGTGTCTTCGTCTTTGGTTTCTTTCTCTCTTTTTTACTTTGGAGGAGAAGAGACTGATGTTTTAAAGATTGATCTTTTCGGCCCCATTGTACAGATGAGGAAACTGAGGCTCAGAGGCAGGAATTTGCCCCAGTTTAAAGGATGATGGAGTTGAGGTTTCCAGACAACCTTCCTTTCTGTCTAAGCTAGACTCTCTGCTGAGCCCTCCCTGTGTCGGACCCTGTCCCTCTTCCAGTCTCTGCCCATCTCTCCCCTTAACCTCTCTGCCACCAACTCTGTCAGCTTTTCGATATTTGCGGCCCTTTTCTGCCTTTGGGGGCGTTCAGAACGTGGTTGGATGGTGAGGATTTGGGTGCAGGCTGAAGGCTGAATGGATGGATGGACAGTGAGTAGGGGCTGAAGGGTGATATGAGGACCTAGATACAAGGGGGGTTTGGCACAGGGAGGGTGCAGGGGAGAGTCTTTGCTGGGATCACTGCAGGGGCTGGAGGAGCTGGGGTGGGATTGAAGCCCTGCCTTCTGTAAACATTATGAGGTCCAGAACCGGAACAGAAATGTCATGCGCTCTGCTCAGCGATCTTCCCACTGTGCTTTGGGCAGGAAGTGGGGTAGGATTGGGAGGTGAAATGTTTGCCCTTTTTCCTCTGCCTGGGACTTGACCTCCTGACCTGATTGGGGGTGCAGTGCCAGGAGCCCTCACTAGATACATAGGGGAACCCCATTCTCCCAGGCCACTCAGGAGTCCGGAGAGGTTGGAGCAGGCAGCCCCCTCCCATGCTCCTCTTTCTCCTCTCCTCCTGTCTGTTCTCAGCAGCCCCTCAGTGCTCCCTGAAAATGCAGAGGGAGGGGCAGAATGCACTTGGCCCCTGAGGAAGATCTGGGGGCCTGGCAAGAGTGACCTGGTACACGGGAAGCCTGAGCTGGGATTTAGGGGGCAGCAGGCATTGTCAGGTCCCTGGGGAAAGAGTCTCTAAGCCTGGGGTGTCAGAGGGTCAGCCTGTGGATATCAGTTCTGACTTTGAATTACAGGGAGAGGAGGGAAAGGTGTGCAGGCCGGCCATTGCCACCAACAGGGACGTGGGACTACAAGGTTTAGACCTTGCCACTTTCCTGGGCCTTTGTCTGCTCACGTGGCAGCGGGTTCCTGATTAGCCGCAGGAGAGATGAGTGTGCGAGTTGGCCATTTGCACCATCTGAGACTTGGGGACAAAGAGAGGAGGACGGGGAGGGCCAGGTGCCACGCTGCAGGTGGGGGCTCACCTGGGGTGGCTGTGATGGTCTTTGTAGGGGTTTAAAATAGACAAGGAGGCTTGAGAGCCAGAGAGAGACGGAGCTGTTCTGGTAACAGTAAATGCCTGCTTTCTATTTAAACCGGTGCACCCCTATTCTGTGTTTTAACTTACTTAGCTCTGCAACGTGGTGGGTGGATGCAGGTGGAGCAGGAGGACCAGAGGGTTAAACAGCCAGGCCATCTGGCCCCAGAGTTCCTGCTGGTGACCTCCATACCACTGGGTTCTCACATTTCCTGACCACAACCCACAATGAGAATTTTATTCTATCTCAGAACCCAGTCGAGCTGGATTGACCTGGTGGCAGGCTGGTCTGTGTTTTCTGGTTGTTGTCGTTGTTGTTAATTAGGTGCTGTTGAATCAGTTCTGACTCACAGACCCCACGTACCACCTGGTCGAAACCCTGTCCAAGCCTGCACCCCACCTCACTGTTTCTCCTGTGCATAAGCCCGTTGTTTCAGTGACTATATCAGGCTCGTTGGGAATCCGCCTGTCTTTCACTGACTCTCTTTTTTCCAAGTACGATGTTCTGTTCCAGAGGCTTGCCCCCCTTGATACACAGAATAGGTAGGAGGAAGTCTTACCATCTTTGCTCTTAAGGAGTTCCATACGTCACCTCTTCTAAGACAGCTTTGCTAGTTGTTTTGTTGGTGAGTTTTTGTTTGGTGGTTTTTTTTTGACAGCCCATGGTATACTCACTATTTTTTACTAACACCAATGTTCAAAGTGTTCTTTATTCCTTGTCCAACTTTCACATGTGTATGAGGCAGCTGAAAATACCATGACCTGGACCAGGTGCACCTTAGTCTTCAAAGGGACATCCTTGACACTTCAAAGGAGTCCTTGGCAACAGATTTTTCCAGTGCAATATGTCGTTTGATTTCTTGGCTGCAGTGTCTGCGGTTGTTGATAGTGGATCCAAGTAAAAGGAAATTGACCACTTCAATCTTCTCTGCATTTATGATGATATTGTTTATTGGTTCAGTTGTGAGGGTTTTTCTTTTATGTTTTCTAGTTGTTGTTACGTGCTGTCAGGTTGCCTGCAACTCATAGTAACCCAATGTACAACTGCTCTGAACCCTGCTTTATCCTGTGACAACTTTATTCTCTGACACATCTACCTCCACTACCTCAGTCACTGAATCAGTCCATCTCATCGAGGGTCTTCCTCTCCTGCGCTGTCCTTCCACCCTCCAAGCATGGCATCCCTCTCCAAGCACTGGTCCGTCCTTGCAACATGACCAGAGTATGTCAGACGGAGCTTCAGAATCCTTGCCTCCATTAAAAGTCCTGTCAGTCCCACCCCTCTGTGGGACAGGCTGGCATTTTGGGAGTTCCCCGTGCCCTAGACCTCTGGTTCCATTTGTTTACCTGCATCATCTTTGCATGCTCTCTGCCCTCCCACACACCCGTCCATCCTGGGAGGATGTGTGGTCACTATAGGAATGTGGTAATGAGAATCCAGCAGCCTGTTCACAGTGAAGGTCTAGGGTGTGACCAAGGCTACTACTTGGGACACCTTTTGGGATGAGTACTGGGGTGAGGCTGAAACGAAGATCCTCTGGGGCCCATGTTCCCAGCCCCCAAGACGTGCTGCCTGAGTGAGGGGTCCTTCCTGTGTCCCCTTTCCTAGGCTAGCAGCAGAGGGCAGTGTGGCTGTGACTATGGCCATGTGGGCCTGGGCCACCTCGCCAGCTGGATATACCTGCTGACCTGGACCTTGCCCCTTCCCAATACCATGGCCGCCCTTTCACCCAGGGGGTCACCAAGGGGACTTAGGTCAGCCTGTCGCAGCCTGGCCACAGGGCCTCACAGGTAGAGATCTTGATGGCATGTCACCTCTGGGGGCTCCCACTGCCATGAAGTCTCTGATCTGTACCCCCCTGCAGGTGGCTCCAGCTTTCCTTTTCCAGGAGGCTGTGACCTCAGTGGTGGTTAATAACTCAGCAACGTGCCTGGCATGTGAGGAGTGTCTGGCCGCTGCTGTTGTTGTTTGGTTGTTTCCACGTCTCCCCCACACCCTACACTCTGTTCTCCAAGCCTTTTTCATTCCATCTGCTATTACATGCTGGCCCTGGTACCCCTTCGTCTGGAAAGCTCCCATCTCCGTGTTCCCCAGTTTTGCTCTCTGGCTAGCTGGGACCATCTTCTGATCTGCTCTGGGTTCTACCAGCGTCTCCCACCGCACACTGTGAGTGGATAGACATCAACCTGCGGGCCAGGCAGGAAGTCCTGGTGGTGCTGCAGAGTGAGCCTTGAGCTGCTAATCAGAAAGCCAGTGGTTCAGATACAGTGGGGCAGATGCTGTGTTTGTGCCAGGTTCAGACCTGGTTACCACAGAAGCCTGGTGTTTAGGATTTCCCCCCCCCCACACACACACATTTTATTGCCTTATTGTTGTCGTTGAGTACCATAGAATTGTAATGGTCCTAAAGCTGAACCTCCAGTGGCTTTTCAGAGGCAGTTAATCGTGCAGGAGGAGATTGCCTATCCTTCTCCCATGGAGCAGCTGGTGGCCTCGAACCACGTGCCTTTGGGATTGCAGTGCAGCTTCTTGACACAAGGCCACCAGAGCTCTCTCTTCAGTAGCTGAGTTGCTGTAAATTAGCCCCCGCGTCGTAGTGCCCCCTTGTGTTACAGAGTAGAATTGCTCCATAGCTATTAGCCTAGGGAAGATTTTGGCAGATCTTGGAAGAGGTGGGTGGATTTGAAGTAACAACCATTACGTTATTCACTTCCCTTTTGCCCAGGAATTTGGGAAGGAAAAGCCACTGTGACCTGGGCTTTGAAGGATGGGCAGACATAGCCAGGCGGAGAGGAGGGGAGCTGACATCTGGGTGCAATGGCCTGAGGTTTCATGGCGCCCAGGGACTCTTAAGCATCCCTCATTCTGCAAGACCTTTGAAATGCATAAACACTAACGGACTTTTAAAAAAATTTTTTTAAAATGTTATTACATTTTGTTGTGTGTACCGTCAAATCGGTTCTTACTGGTTCGGGAGGAGATTGTCCCTCCTTCTCCAGCAGAGCATCTAGTGGATTCGAACTGCATACCTCTGGGATTGCAGTAAAAGCACGAACAGACTCTTAATTCTCCCCTCTGCCTTCTCAGGTCGTTGGCCATCCGGTTGTCGGGCTGGAACCCCCCAGGGGGGCCTGAACCTCAAGACAAAAGTCTAGACAGCCTGTCACTCCTTGGGGACAGCTGGTCCGGGTCCGTGGTGCGGCGGGTGCTTTCTGGGCCCGGGTCAGCAAGGACCGAACCTGGAGAGGTGCGGCTCCTCCCCTTTAGGCTGAAGGTGGAGCCTTAGCTGGACGAGACTCCCGCTGATTGGTCAACCAAGGCGGGTGGGCGGAGTCTCTGAGGATTGGCCAGAGGGAGAGAAATCTGACCTTAGTTACTGGTTGCCCCGCCCCAGACTCCAGGAAAGCTGATTGGACAGACTCAGGTTGGGCAAACCAAGAGCCCCTGACCAGCTCAGGGTGTCCAGGTTGGGGAGTCTGTTGGTAGAAGCTAAGTCATGGCGCTTGGCCTCTGATCCGGGGGTTTTGAATAATAAGACGTAGTCCCTTCTACACCCTGCCTTCCTCTAGCTCCCCAGTTTTTCTGACCTTAGAAGGTAATTTTTTTACCCCTCACTGTGTTGATTTCTTCCCAGCCAAGGACTGATGGCGCTGGCCTGGAAGGGGCATGCCTGGATGCTGAGGCCCAGCAGAGACCCTCACCCTGGAGCCAGGGGTCCACACTCCCCTACCTCGTGGACCCGAAGGGTAAGCCTGACCTTGTGAGGAGGCTGGGGAGCAACTGGGACCAGCCCAGGGTAAGGGCAGGGGAACCAAGGGCTGGAGCGGGAGACAGTCCTGGGGTCAGTCCTCAGCACATGAAGTGGGCATGCATGAGGAGTCCAGAGACATGGGTTCAAGGTCTGGTTGTGTCTTTTGTAAATTGGGTGACATTGAGCAAGTCCCCACCCTCTCTGGGCCTGAGACTCGCTATAAGAAGGGGAATGTGGGGTCCCACAACTAAGACTTTGAGAGAGCTATGCTGGTGGTCTCCCCACCAGCCAACCCCTGGCCTCACCTCTCTCCTCTTGTCATCCCTCCACCCCTGCTGCCATGCCCAGCCTTCCAGTCCTTCCATGAGGCCCTGGATGCCTGGGTGAAGGGGTTGAACACTGAGCCTTTCTACATTCGAGCCAACCTGACCCTGCCTGAACGGGCAGACCCCCATGCCCTGTGCGTGAAAGCCCAGGAGATTCTGCGCCTGCTAGACCCCGCCTACAAACGGCGGCAGGAGTGGTTCTGCACCCGCGTGGACCCCCTGACCCTGCGGGACCTGGACCGAGGCACCGTGCCCAATTATCAGAGGTGACAAGATCTGGGAGCTGGGAGCCTCGTCCCACCTGGGTGTCGGGCTGCGAGACACAGGGAGCCTCCTGAAATCGCTCACTGTCCTCTGTGGTGGTCCTGGGGTCTAGAAGTCAGGGTCTCCCTTTGTCCCCCACAAACATGTGACATGACTCCTTGTCCCCCCCAGAGCCCAGCAGCTCCTGGAAGTTCAGGAAAAATGCCTGCACTCCGGTCGGCACCGAAGCCCCCGCAGTAATGTAAGCACCCCTGGGTGGGCAGGAGGGGCCTGAGAAAGGCAGGGGGGTGGGGAGGAGAGGAGGAAGGACCCCACTGTCAGGACTCAGCTGAACTACTCTGTGCCCAGCATGTGTTTTCCTGGAGCTCAGCAGACAGACACACAGACAGCTAGCCAGCCCACGGAGCCTCCCATCCGTTGCAGCTTAGAGGATCCAGTAAGCTCAAGAGGCCAGTAGTCCTGAGTCCTTGGGCAGAATGAGACTCAGACAACTTAAATACCCAGAAAGAAAAAAAAATACCCAGAAAGCTATCTTGTTAAAGGTGTCGGGAGTGTGGGCTCCATGACCTTGGACAAGCACTGCAACCTCATGTTGAGGCTCTGTTTTCTTATCTGTGAAATGGGAGCAGTTGTACTGTATCAAGGAGGGCGTACAGGAAGCTCTGGTGGGCTAGTGGCAAAACGTTGTGCTGCAGTCCCGAAGGCACATGGTTCAAGTCTGCCAGCTGCTCTGTGGGAGAAGGATGGGTAATCTCTTCCCATGCGATTAACTGCCTCTGAAAACCTGCCAGAGGTACAGCTAAGGGTCGGTTCTGACTCTACAGTATACAGCAACAATAGGAGGAGGTGTGTACGACTTGTTATGCGTCAGAGAGTTGGACAATGACTAGGGAGGATAGAAGGAGAATTGATGCCTTTGTAGATGCCTGTGCTGCTGGAGAAGAGTATTGATACACCATGGACTGCTAAGAAAATGAACAGGTTCATCCTGGAGAGGGTCTAACCAAGCTGCTCCTTGGAGGCAAGGATCTTGGGGCTTCCTCTGACATACTTTGGACATGTTGCAAGGAGGGAGGGACCAGTCCTTGGAGAGGGACGTCATGCTTGGGGGTAGAGGGACAGCGCAGGAGGGGAAGGCCCTCTATGAGGTGGGTTGAATCAGTGACTGGGGTAATTGGGGTGGGTGTATCGGAGACGGTGTGATTGGCACAGGATAGAGCAGGGTTTAGGGATGTTGTACATAGGGTTGTTATGAGTTGCAAGCGACTCGACGGCACCTAACTACAACCCACGTCAGGTGCTCTGGCGTTTGATGTATGTTCAAACTCGTCAAGGTTGGTGGCCGTCGGGTGGATTCTGACTCATTGCGATGCACAGAGGACAGACAGAACGGCCTGTCATTTCTGAGATTGCCTCGTCTTACCCCTGTGGAACTGTCAGTGGGTTTGGACCCACTAGCAAAGACCACAGTGGTGTTTGCTGCCCAGTACTTAACCTGCTGCACCACCAGGCCCTGTGATGCACACTGGCTATCAGTGTAATTGTTGTCGGGCTGATTGCCTTGTCTGTGGTCACGTTGCTAGTTATTAAGCTCTGAAATTGTCTCTTCTGTATCTTGCTGCTTCCCAGGCAGAAGTTTGGCCTCCTGTGACTCTTCCATGGGCTTTGTGTGTAGTGCGAGGGTGCCCCCAGTGGGCGGGGTGTATATGACATCCAGAAACCTCAGTCTCCCCTTCTGTAAAGTCACGGCAGACTACCTGGTCCTGCGGTGTCCACCTCATCAGCCCAAGGGCTCTTGCCTCTCCGGTCCTTAGGGACATTTGTCTTCACCAGCTCAAGGCATGGTGCCAGCAGGGTTGGGGGTAGAGATTGTGTTGACCTGGGTCAGGGGTCAAGGGCAGTTTCTGGAGGCTGTTTATTGTCCCTGACCCATGAGGGTGACATGGGGCTGAGCTCTCAGACACCCCTCTCATCTCTTCCCCAGCTAAAGAAGCGAGCCCTAGATCAACTCCGGCTGGTGAAGGCCAAGCCTTTGGGGGGTCCTGCCGGGGAACCCCCGGAACAGATGCTGCTGGAGCCCTGCTCAGGTGAGCACGCAGGTGGGAAGATGCAGATCTGTGCCCTGTGTGGTCGCTGTGGGGGTTCCATTGGGAGATGGGGCTTATGTTGGGGGACCTGAGGGATAAGGTGCCCTCTCCTGCCAGGTTTGTGAGGTGTGGTGCTGGGTGTATGTATGTCATGCCATTGTAGGGCTGATGTCTCTGCGGCACGCACAAGTAAGGCATGTTCTTAGCTGGGAGCATGTGCGCGAGGGGTGTGTGTGTGTGTGTGTGTGTGTGTGTGTGTGTGTGTGTGAGTCCAGTGACAGGCCAGCAGCTCTCAGGGCTGAGGGGAAGACTTCTGGAAGAGGAGGGATTTGAACTGGGTGTTCAAGCATCAGCAAAAGTTTGCTTCTGGCACAAGGCAGTTAGCACAGGCACACAGAGGCGTGTGTAAGGAGCATTCAGCTCAGTGTGCGTGCTCCGGGCACAGCTCCGTCAGTGCTGCGCTCCATCCAGGGTCGCCGTGGCCCCTACTTTCAAGATTGCTGCCTAAGGGGGGAGGTGGACACCATCAGATCATTAAGTGGACATTTGAACACATTCCATGGAGGCTGAGGCCGTAATGAGCATGTGCCACTGGTCTTGCCGTCTCAACACCAGGCTGGGGGTGAGCGAGTCTTTTGAGGGTGAGAAAGGGTTAACTGGTCAGCAGCTCAGCGTGGGCCAGTGGGCCCCAGCAGCACGTGCAGAGCCCTGTGATCCATGTTCAAGGGGAGGAACTGGATGGTCAGTGAGCAGGAGGGGAGTCTGCTGGGAGAGTGGCTCCCTGCCCACAGGCTGACCGCAGGGCTCGTCACCCATGTGGCAGATGTGGCCTTTTTCCTGAGGATCATGGGAAGTCGCTGGACCATTGAAAGCAGGGAAAGGACAGAACCTGACTTGGGTTTTGAAAGGCTCTGGTTGTAAAGTATTTCATGGCCTGTAGGGGGCAAGGGTGAGGCAGAGGAGCCGGCTGCAATGGCCTCAGCCAGGGGCACCTGCAGGACAAGCTGTGGGGGTGCTTAGAAGGAGGGTGGATGGGGAGGTGATGGGGCCGCACCTCACCCTCATCTCTGCCGCCCCCTCCCCTGCCCCAGAGCCAGAGCGGAGCCTCAAACCTTACAGCCTGGTGCGCCCCCTGCTCGTGTCTGCCCCGCGGCCCGTGGTCCTCTTGCCCGAGTGCCTGGCGCCCCGGCTCATCAGAAACCTGTTAGACCTGCCCAGCTCCCGGCTGGACTTCCACGTGTGCCCAGCGGGTGAGTCTGTGGACCAGGCAGGGGGAGGAGGTGCCGGCCTAGGCAGCAGGCCCACTGACCTGCCGGCCCTGCCCCTCTCTCCCTCCTCTGTAGAAAGCCTCTCTGGAGAGGAACAGTGCGTGTCCTCGGCACCCGGAGCCCCCAAGGCCCGGCCTGCCACCCCCGGCCTGGGCAGCAGGATCCGCACCATCCAGGAGAATGTGGGGAAGGTGAGAGGGTGTGGGTGGGGTCCTGCGGGGGTAACCATGGGGTGATGGTGGGTGGCGTCCTGCGGGGGTATCCGTGGGGTGATGGTGGGCGGGGTCCTGCGGGGGTATCCGTGGGGTGATGGTGGGCGGGGTCCTGCGG